TTGTTTTCGTGCAGACATCTTGTGAGCCAGTTAGGTTATGCCATCAGTTCTAGGAGGAGGAGGAAGGACAGTGTGTCCTTGATGCTGTCTCAGCCTGGTGGTTTTCTTGCAGACGTCTTGTGGCCCAGCTAGGTTACATCATCAGTGCTAGGAGGAGGAAGGACTGTGCAAAAGTCCTTGGTGCTCTCTCAGCTTGACTGTTTTCGTGCAGACATCTCGTGGCCCAACTAGGCTACATCATCAGTGGTAGGAGGAGGAAGGTGTGCGAAAGTCCTTGGTGTGCTCTGAGCTTGGTTGTTTCCATGCACACGTCTCATGATCCAGCTAGGTTACGTGATCAGTGCGAGGAGGAGGAAGGACTGTGGGGTCCTTGGTGCTCTCTAAGCTTGGTGGTTTTGTGCAGACATCTCACGACCCGACTAGGTTGTGCCATCAGCGCGAGGAGAAGGAGGAAGGGCTGTGGGATCCTTGAGGCTCTCTGAGCTGGGCTGTTTCCTTAGAGATATTTCATGACCCAACTAGGTCACCCCGACTCCCGCTGCCTTCTAGCGCTGATGGCGTTACCTAGTTGGGTGAAGAAACGTCTGTGAGGTAAAACCACCCAGCTCACTGAGCGCCCAGGGTGTCCAAACGGGGCCTGCGTGAATTCAGGGGCTGCCAGAGCCTTTCCCAGAACACCAGACCCCACCTTCTGTTCTGTTTTATTTTTTTATATCCTGTATATATTCTATTCTATTTTGTACACTATTTTACATTTTATTCCATTCTATATTCTATTTTGTATTCTATTCCATTCTATAGGATTTATGTTCTATTCTATGATTTCTGTTCTATGTTCTCTTTTATGTTCTATTCCATTTTATATTCTATGTTTCATTCTATTTTATAGTCTATATTATTTTTTATTTTCTATTCTATTTTATATTTTATTCTATTCAAAATTTCATTCTATTTTGTATTCTATTTTACATTCTATTTTATTTTGTATTCTATTCCATTCTATATTCTATTTTGTACTCTATTTTCTATTCTATTATTTTCTATTTTATTCCATTCTATTTTCTATTATTTATATTCTATTCTATTATTTATATTCTATTCTATATTCTATTTTACATTCTATTCTGTTTTGTTAGGAATGTAAGTAACCTAACAGCTATTTGGGTTGAAAATATATAAACCAGGATAAACATTTTAATACTGTATCTTTAAGAAAATGCAAAAGTGTAATTGGGTGTGGTTTCTCAAACGGCCACAAGATGGAGCCAGAAACCTGGGTTGTTTTGGTCTTAGTCTCAGAAGAGAGTGTGAGTCAGTCTTTGTTTCCTTCTGTTAGAGAATATTGCCGTTCCTCCTAATTGACTGATATTCTGATACTGAACTGTTTTGGACACTGGAATTTATTATTGGGTTATCCCTGGATGAAAACTGACTGATCTTACCTGTGAATGGCTTTGGACTGCCTATTTTGAACTTTGCTTAAACCTTTATTGAAAGTAAAAAACCTACATTTACTGTACAGTGTATCTGTGTTCTGTGTGTGTATTATTCAAACACTACTCTCAATACGTCTCCCTGTATGCGCTCGTTCTCCTAACGGGGAATTACCTCAACATATTCCATTTTATATTCAATTCTATATTCCATTCTATTTTATATTCTGTACCATTTTATTTTATATTCCATTCTGTGTTCGATTCAATTCTATTTTATATTCTATATTCTATTTTATTATTTAAAACACATTATAAAAAAGATGTTGAGACTCTAGAAAAAGTCATAGAACAGCAACCAGGATGATTAGGGGACTGGAGGCTAAAACATACAATGAACGGTTGCAGGAACTGGGCTTGGCTAGTCAAGAGAAAGACCAAGGGAGACATGATAGCAGTCTTCCAATATTTGAGGGGCTGCGTCTGAATTGCGGGGAGGCCGCGATGGTCATAAGTGTGAGAAATTGTCCTTGGTTTCTCCCCCCAAGCCATTGTAACTTGGAACGGTTGCTAGGAAAACACTGGTAAGTCAAGGATTATCAGTAGAGAAGGGGTGTCCGAGGTTGGGCATTTTGAGACTTGTGGGATTTCAACTCCCATAATTCCCCCAGCCAGGTTTGCTGAGGAAGAAATAATAAAGTCAAATAACATAACATTAAATTAATTAAATTAAATAAAGTAAAATTAAATAGTAAAAGTAACCTAAAGTAACTTAAAATAATATCAAATCAAGAAAAATAACACAAAATAACAGAGTAAATAAAATCAAGTAAAATAACAAGATAATAAAAATTAACCTAAAATAAAATAACAGAAGAATAAAATAAAGTCAAATAAAATAAGGTAAAATAAAATAAAACAACAAAAAAATCAAGTAAAAAGATAAAATAAAACCAAACAACAAAACAAAGTAAATAAAATAAAATAACATAAAATAAGGCAAAATGAAGTAAACTAGAAAATAAAATGTAAAATAAAATATAAACTAAAATTAACATAATATAAAATTAAATTAAAATGAAATAAATAATAAAGTAAAATAACAAAATAAAGTAAAATAAAGTAAAATAACAAAGTAATAAAATAACAAAACAACACAATAATTTTTTTGTTTTATTTTACTTTATATAATATAAAATAGTATAAAAGAATAAAATAAAGTCAAATAAAATAAAGTCAAGGTAAAATAACAAAATAAAAGTCAAATAAAATAATGTAAAAGAAGGCAAAATGAAGTAAAATAGAAAAAAATGTAAAAAATATATAAAATATAAACTAAACTAAAATATAACATACCATATAAAATAAATAAAATTTAAAAAGACATAAAATAAATAAATAAAATTAAAAATGAAATAATATGAAATTAAATGAAATTCAGGTAGTCTTCAACTTAGGACCACAATGGAGCCCAAAATTTCAGACAAGCCAACCGTCATTAAGTGAATTTTGTCCCATTTCCCCCCTCCCTCTTTGCTGGCTGGGGAATTATGGGAGTTGAAGTCCACAAGTCTTAAAGTGGCCATGGTTGGAGACCCCTACCTTAGAGATTTTAGCTAGTCCATGACTTACAGTGACCGTTCCAAGTTACAACAGCCCGGGGGGGGGGGAACTCTTTTTCATGCTTATGACTGTCGCAGCGTCCCTATGGTTACGGGATCGAAATTCAGAGGCTTGGCAGCTGACTCGTGTTTATGACAATCCCAGTGTTTCTGGGTCACTGGGATACGAAAGAGATTAGCAGACAGAAGATAGGAATGGATGGATGGAGAGAGAGAGATTAGAAGATAGAGATGGGTGGATGGATGGATGGATGGATGGATGGAAAGAGACAGAAGAGACAGAAGAGGTTAGATAGATAGATGATGGATGGAGGAAGAAAATAGATATAAAGAAATAATAGATATGAGAGATTAGCAGATAAAAGAAAGGGATGGATGTAAGGAGAGAGAAAATAGATATGAAAGAGAAAAAATAGAGATAGGACAGAGATTCGCAGATAGAAATAGATGGTCGAGAGGGTGGGAGAGAGACAGAATAAATAGATAAGAGATATAGATATAGACATATAATAGAGATAGGCTGTTATGATATGTACACAATAACCCTTGAGTAACAAGGATATGCACACGGAAATGTTTATGAGAGTAGTTATGAATAATTATTCAGCCACACACAGTTACACTAAATTGAGTTAAAGTTTACTTTAAGAAATAGCACAGTCCAATAAACAGTCCAGGTCATATACGTTTTACAGTCCAAATAATATCCAATTACAAAGTCTTCTTACCGGTTGCCTTTGTCATTTACAGTAAACAAAAATATCCAAGTATAAGCACAGCATAAATACAACAGAGAACCTTAGATAGCAACAGAATGTCAGAGAGACAGAATGTCAGAGCAAGCTATGATCTCTAGCTCCCTCTTATGGTAATTTGCAATATAATCAACCCATTGGAATATAGTATAAATCAATACAGTGATTTTGTCTTAAAGCTACAAACATACATTATTGGTTTATATATTGCCAACGCAACTAATTGGTGGACATATTCCTAACATAGACAGATAATAGAGATGAGAGAGATTAGCAGATAGATGATAGATAGAGATGGGTAGATGGATAGAGAGAGACAGATAATAGATATGAGAGAGAGGGAGATAACAAAATTAAAATTAGTAAGAATTAAATATAGACGAATAGCAATGTGAACCAGGTCCCACTGTAGAGCATGGATGTCCAACCTTGGCAGCTCTAAGACTGCACTTCAGCTCCCAGAATTTGCCAGCTCGTGAAGCTGGACGTTCAAGTCCCCATGTCTTAAAAGTTGCCAAGGTGGGACAACCCGACCTTAAGAAATTATTATCATGTAGAGCAGTGGTGTGATTCCAAATTGCGTGCTACTGGTTCTGTGCACTTTGCAACACTCGAAGATCGCCCTCAGTGAGGTGAGCTGTTTTTTTAGCTCAGCTGAGGCACTTCGCACACACGCAGCACTTAAAAATTGCCCTTGGTGAGGTGAGCTATTTTTTAGCTTGGCTGAGGCACTTCATGCACATCCCCAGCACTCAAAGGTCACCCTCGGTGAGGTGAGCTGTTTTTTAACTCAGCTGAGGCACTTTGCGTGAGAGCAACACTCAGAGATCGCCCTTGGTGAGGTGAGCTGTCTTTTAGCTCAGCTGAGGTGCAGCAATCCACTATGCCACACAAATCAGCTGAGCTAAAAATCAATGGGATATAGGACAGGAAATGGGGTGGGGGGACAGGGCCAGCCAGAAGTGGAATTTGATGGTTCTCCAAACTAGTCCAAATTTCTGCTACCAGTATGCCGGAACTGGTCCAAACCGGCTGAATACCACCTGTGGTGTAGAGTGGTTTTATGGTGGTTTTATTTTTTGCACAAGCCCCCTTGACACAGGCGGCAAACAAACGGCTTGGCATCAATTGGGGTCTTGGCGTATCTCTTGCCAGCCTCTCTTTGACGCTCTCTTTTGTTTTCTCCACAGAAAGCGGTGTCCCTATGGACGGGACGGACCAAGAGCCGGTGGATGGCCGCACCCGCCAGGCATCCCCTCCAGGGGAGAAGCCATTCCCTTTCCCGGTGTGGGAGGAGAGCTCGGGAGACGAGAACGGGTTGGTCATCCACAGCCAGGTGGAGGAAGAGGAGCACAAATGCGCCATGTGTGGCAAGAGCTTCAGCCAGCCGCTAGGCCTGCTGCGCCACCAGAAGCAGCAGCACGCCGGCGAGCGGGCCTTCATGTGTCCCGAGTGCGGCCGGGGTTTCAGCCTCAAACACAACCTCATCATCCACCAGCGCATCCACACTGGGGAGAAGCCCTTCGGCTGCAGCGTCTGCGGGAAGCGCTTCAGCCTCAAACAGAACCTGATCACCCACCAGCGGGTGCACGGCAGCCCGGCCCGCCGCCCGTTCGCCTGCCCTGCCTGCAGGAAGCACTTCCAGGAAGAACGGCTGCTTGCCGCTCACCAGAAAAGAGACTTCAAGCTGCAGCAGGAACAGCAGAAGCAGCGGCAGGACAGCCCAGGAGACCAAACGGGGTGCGTCGCCAAGGAGGTTGAGGAGGATTTTGCGCGCCACCACCTTCGGGTCAAGCAACAAGAGAAGCCCCCGCAAATCCATGCCGCCTTTGCCCGCCAGAGTTCCGGGGAACCTTTGGGGGGCCAAAGTGGGCACACCAGCTTGCCAAGGACCCAGCAAGCCAAGGAGGAGATCCCCAAAGCCCCGAAGATGAGGCTTCGCAGGGGGGACCCCCACTTCCAGTGCCTGATGTGCGGGAAGACCTTTTCGCAGAAAGGCAATGTGGCAGCACATCGTCGGAGCCACCGCAAACAGGAGAGCCTCAGCTGAGGACAGGATCAAGAGGGTGTCCTGCAGCGGTTGAGCGATCAGAGTGGTAGTGGGGCAGAGGGCTTGAGACAGGGCCAAGAGCAGGTGGACGAGAGGAAAATACAGCCCCCTCCCCCATCCCAGATCACTTGCGGAACATACTGGAAATGACCTCTTGACGTTCTCCATCAAGTCCCTTTCCATGTACTGTATTGGGAGCATGAACTAACACAAAACTAGAACACACAGGGTTCTTTCCATTTTTCTGCATTTTTGTATTTACCTTTTTATTTTGATCCATTTATCTCCCCACTGGGTTCTGGATAGAGTCCCTCTCCCCCCTCCACATGTTGCATTCTGTTTTTTGTCCCTTTCTGATGGGAAAAACTGTTTCTTCCAAATCCGCAGAACGCCGACTGGAGTTGAATCACACCAAGAGGGGAGCAGGGTCAGAGCTGTGCCAGAGTCCTGGACCTGGGGGTGGTGGAAATAAGAGGCTCGGGATAGCCGTTGGATCAGCCGGCTCTGAGTTTGCAGTGGCGAGCCTCCTTGGAAGCCGTTCCTGGTGGGGTTGAACCCGAGGCGGTGCGGCGTGAAGCAAGGATCATGCGTCTCCTTTGGAAGCCGTTCCTTTGTCGTTCCCTGTGGATTTGAACCTGAGGCGGTGTGGCGTAAACCAAGGATCGCATGTTTCCTTGGAAGCCTCTCCTTTGTTCCCTGTGGATTTGAACCTGAGACCTACGGTGTGACGTGACGTTAGAAATACTTCCGTTGACAACTGCGTCGTGGAGCTAGCTGGAACAGGCCAGCATCTTTGAGCTGCAAGAATCCACCGCAGAATGGAGGAACCCACCTGACGGAAAGTTCCTCAGCGCTCCCTACTCGGCGCGGCAGTACGGTACCATCACTGAGGTCGATCCAGCAAAGGGGTCCCTTGGAAGATCAGCGTCCATGGAGACCGGGGAGGGAAACTCCCAATTTGGAGGGGCTGTGTTTCCAGTGACCCCTTCTCCTGTGGAGAAGACCCCCTCCCTGCTCTGCTTCCCATCGCTGTCCAGCCAGGCCTCGGTTCTCGTAGCTGGGCCTCAGCGCGTCCCCGCTGCTCCACGGCGTTTTTGTTGTTCCTGTTAACTGTTACCACATTCGGCCTGTTTTAGAGGCTTTTTCAAGCAGTCCTGGTTGACCTGGACCTGTTGAACAATTGCGGAGTTGCTGCCTTGCCTCAAGGGGGTCTGTCTGGGGTGCATGTAACTGCAATATATGAAGGTCTCTGAGTGGAGGGGTGAGAAGGGGGTCTCGGCGTGGGGGGGTGCAGGACAAAGGCTGGCTGGGCTCTTTTCCTTCCCTCCCTCTGTCTCTCTTTTTCCCCTTCTCTTGTTTTCCTTCCTTCTTTCCTTCCTTCCTTCCTTCCTTCTTTCTCTTTTGCTTCCCTCCTTCCCTCCTTTGTTTCTCTTTTTCCATTCCTTTCTTGCTCACTGGCTCGCTCTCCCTCTCTTGCTTTCTTCTCTTTCTTTGTTTTCTTTTTCTGTTTTCCTTGTTTCCCTCCCTCCCTCCCTTTTCTGTTTCCTTCCTTCCACTTTTCCTTCTTTCCCATCTTCCTTCCTCCCTCCCCTTTTTCCTCCCTCCCCATCCCTCTCCCCTCACACTCTTCTTCCTTCATTCCATTCTCCCTCCTTTTTCCTTCCTTCCCCCTTTCCTTTCTTTTCTTCCTCCCTTCCTCCCCTCTTTCATCCTCCCTCCCTTCCCTCTCTTCTTTGTTCCATTTTATCTTCCCCTTATCATCCCTTCCATCCTCTTCCTCCATTCCCTCCCTTTCTTCCTTTGTTCCACCCTTCCTCCTCTTTATCTTTCTCCCTCCCCCTCTTATCCTTCCTTCCAGCCTCTCTTCCCTCCCACCCCTTTCCTTCCCTCCCTCTCATCTTCCTTCGTTCCACCCTCTCTCATTTTATCTTCCTTCTTCCCTCCCTCCCTCCTGTACGCCCCCCCCCCCACCATTCCTGTAGCCCCACAGACCAAATTGCCCTGCAGAATTTCTGCCCCACACACTGCCAAGGAATATGGATTTCCCCACTGATTTTTCCCCCAGAGGGAACGTTTGAGCACCATGTATGTGTTTGGGCCCGGGACGTGAGGTCATGCGCCCGAAATTTTTTTTGGCTGTTTGGAGTTGTTCCAGTGGCCGCTTCAGGGTGGAGTTGGGGGGGGGTCAAGCGATACTGAGGTCCCCCTTGCTCAGTTGCCCTCCCCCCCAAACCTGAATTTCGGCCAGTTTGGCCTCAGTCCTAGCCACGGGACCATAACGATTGCCGTAAAATTACCACCCCTGCTAGAAATTGTGGCACCACAGAATCCGGGGCCCCTTTCTCCCACCCGAGGCCCCAGATGTTGGGGTCCCCACATCATGGTCTCCCCTTCGCCCTCATCCCTGGCTTACCCAGGAATCCCCTCAATTTCTGCACCAGGAGAGCAGCGCCCTCCCTCTCTTGGTGACCACCTAAAGCCCCCCTATGGTTGCGCTGCCGTAGAAATGGAATAAAATAAAATCACACTCCCCACTCGGGGCATGCTCCCCCATCTCACTCAGGGAGGGGGGCATGCCCCATTAAGGCAGTCAGTATAAGGGCCAAACCACTGCAGATCAACCCCGTTAAATTTAGTGCAGCTGTTCTTGCTGTATTTGTGAGGACTGAGCCGGGAGTGTATCTCTCTCTCCCCTCCTTCCTGGGGGGAGCGGCAAGAGACAGCAAAGCCCCCTCCCCATGCCTTGAGTGACTTCACCTTCCGAGAGGAGGCAGACAGCCTCTGGATTACCAGGACGGACCAAGAATGGGTTCTTCTGAGTTTGGGGGGCAGCTGTCGCCAGGTGTCCCTTCGGGAGGGGGAGAAACCCCATCCTCACCCTGCCAAATTTTATCAGGAGGAAATTATTCCTACCCACCCACCCCCAACACCCCAGGAAATCTTCCGATAGTGATGACTGGTAAGTGCAACGCACCTCCGGGCTGCCTCTCAGAGTCCTCACATTTGTGGACAGGGAGGGGAGTCTCATCCAGGGAGTAGTCCCCTCCTGCCCCCACACCCAAATAGAGCCCCCCCAAAGGATGCCACCAGGGGCCACCGGAACCAGTTCAACAAGCAGTTGGGGGACTGTTGTGGCCCCCAACTTGCTCCGAGAGCAAGCGGGACCTGTGGCTCAATCCTGAATTGTGTCTGTTTTCATTCGGAAAGGAAAATTTCACAGCAATGTCAAGTGAAAAGATAATTTTTTTGTGGGGGAGGAGTGTTTCTTCATTTCCTGTTCAACTCTCTTGAGGCCTTGCCCCTGCTCTCCCACGCCTCCCAGGATGGTCCCTCCTTGAAAACCTTTGCACAGCCTCTCACTGCAGCGATGACAGACTCCTGGACAATTTCGGCATGCATTCCCCTCCCCCTCTTTCCACGGAGGCGGCAAAGTACCAGGGTGGAGGTTTGGCCTGCTTTGTGGATATCAAGGGGTCTCTGCCCCCCCTTCCCCACGCAGGGCACTGGTTGCAAATGGTTGTGCTTGGGTGACAATGCACCTTACTTCCTCCTCCTCCTCCTCCCAGCAGCTGGAACCTCTTTCTCCATTGAATAAAATGTTTTGCCTTCCATTTGTTGCTTTTTGGTGGATCGGGCCGATGGAGCATTTTGCCGCTCGGGTTCAAAGCTGGCGGACGTTGCTCGACAGTTGTGTAAAAAAAATAGGTCACTGTGCCACCGCATCAGAAATCTCAGGGTGGGGAAGACCATTGGGGGGGGTTTGGCTAGTGCTAGAACACAACACCCGAGTCCCCCCACCCAAGGCGAGTGGGGTCCCCATTGTGTCAGGATTCTGGCAGTTACCCCCAATGAAATCACAAGTCTCAAGCCAAACTTCCAAAGGATTTATTGGGAGTGAACGTGTCCGGCACTGCCTGGGTGTAAGAACTCGAGACACATCATTGTCAGCCTTGACCCTGGTTTCCCCACCTCCACCCCTCTGGGTATGTCATAAATCATATTCTCCAATGAGACATCCATCCATAGCCAAGAGTCCTCAATCATGTTCTCCAATTAGATCTTTGCCCCGCAGAAACTTCAGTCCCCTAGTTACTATCTTTAAAAACTATGGAATGTACTTTTGGCTTCCAAACTGCTGCACTGCTCCCCCCTCCCCTTTCTGTTGGCAACTTAAAAAGACCATAGAAATCTTCTAGGAGTTGACACATCCCATCCTGCCCTGCTGGCTGCCCACAGGCACTGGGCCTGCTTGGCTAACTTCCCGGATTTGAGGCCATGACAGTTCACAGTGGCCAACTCAACGCGGGACAAGAGTTAACTGTAATATTGAAGAAACAATGGGAGAAAATCATTTAAAGCATGGGTGTCAAACTCAATTTCATTGAGGGCTGCATCACGGCTGTGGTTGACCTGGGGTGTGTGGCCAGCTTGATGCCACTCAGGATGAGTGGGGTGTCTAGGCTGAAGCTACTGTTAAGGTTCCAGCGATTGCCCTAATTAAATCATAAGTCTCGAGCCAAGCTTCAAAAGAATCCCAAAAGATTTATTAGGCGCAACATGTCAGCATTAACCTAAATGAAGCCAACTCTGACACACATGATTTATGGTCACCTGTGCCCCTGTTTCCCCCCCCCCCCTGTGTTATCAGATTCTCCAACGAAGCATGGTTCACGGGCTGGGTGTCATCAATCACATTCTCCATTGAAGAATTTTCATGAGCAGAAGACCCGGTAGCCTAGCTACAATCTTTGTAAGATATGCGTGGAATGTACTGGGTTCACACCCCCACCCCCGCTTATGGCAACTTGACAAAAGGCATAGGAATTCTTTACGAGTTGACATATGCTGGCCTAATGTTTCCTCTTTGCATTGGGTAGATCAGGCTGAAGTGACACGGGCCAGCCCCTTACATTTTCCAGCATGGCCCTGTTGAGTTTGACACCCCTGATTTAAAGAAAGGGTGCAAAAGAAGGGACAGGATGAACTCGGAATGGCAAAAATAAACATAACATGGATTTATTTTCAATCATGAAATAGAATTGTGAAATTGTCCTGTAGCGAGTTGTCCGGCAAGCGGGCTACAGTGAGTTGGCCACAGAAAGTTGTCCCATTCTTCCCGGGTTCCACTTGACTCCTCCCCACCTCATTTCTGATCTTACCTTTTTACTCAATCGCTTACTGTGATGGCACAAGGGGCGTGGCACAAAGGCAACCCAGTCAGATAATCAGTAGGAGTCCCTTTATTAGCTCCAACTTTGCCCCCAATGTCCAAGTTACCTTCTGGCTGGAGAAAAAACTCCCAGGAACAACCTTTGGGCTGCAGAGAATCAAGTCAAAAATGTGGTCAACAAAAACTCACTATAAGTGCAATCGAGGCAAAAGGAGGTAATTAGTCTGACAGGGCAGGAGAAGGAAATTCCAGATGTGAAGGAAAGGTCGTAATTCAACAGGGTTGGGAAGACACCAGTAATGTAGATAAGCAAAGTCAACACAAGATGAACTCACGTTTGTTCCCAGCAGACGCCGCACTCAGCTTGCATCTCTTTTAAACTCTCCTTCCCAGCTGCAGCTAATGAAGGGAATCAGGGCCCTTTCCTCCCCTGTAAGCCACGCAACCCACGTTGGTCCCTTCTCC